TCTTGCTGCCTTTAGGATTCTCTCTTTGTCTTTAATTTTTGGCATTTTAATTACTTTGTGTCTTGGTGTGGGCCTGTTTGGACTCTTCTTACTTAGGGCTCTCTGTGCTTCTTGAACTTGAATGCCTTCTTCCTTCACCAAGTTAGGGAAGTTTTCTGTCACTATTTCTTCAAATATGTTCTCTAACCCTTGCTCATTTTCTTCTCTTTCTGGAACTCCTATGATGTGAATGTTGTTACGTTTCCAGTTGTCCCACAGTTCTCTTAAGCTGTCTTCCTGGTTTTTAATTGTTTTTTTTTTCTTTTGGTTTTCTGATTGGTGATTTTGTTGTACCCTGTCTTCCAATTCACTGATCCACTCCTCAGCTTCGTCTACTCTGCTAGTTATATCTTCCAGTGTGTTCTTTATTTCTGGTATGTCATTCTTCATTTCCACTTGATTGATTTTCAATGTTTCTGTATCTTTACTCATGGTGTTGATGTCCTTATTCATGCTGTTGCGATTCCTCAAGATCATGGCTGTGAACTCTACCTCTGATAACTTGCTTGACTGCCTTTCATTTATCTCATCTTTAATAGAGGTCTCTTGTTCTTTCATTTGGGATTTGTTTCTTTGTTTCACCATTTTGGCTATCTCAGTGGGTTTTGGAGCCTTTCAAATTTTCCCTGTGGGTGTTGTTGTTCTGCTGTTTGTGGCTCTCTGTCCTGGGTTTGGATGAGCGTGGGAGTACCCATGTTCAATACCACTGTCAAGTCTTACTTTCCTGGGTAGATTTGCAAGCCCAGGAAAGGTTCAGTTATTCTCTAGCTTGTAGCCTAGAGTCTATTCGTCTCAGTTACTTGATGAGCCTTGGGTTGTAGCCCTCAGCTGAATAAAAAACTCCCTTAGGTCTTCAGGGTAAGAGGATTTCCAGAGGGTGGGGCAGATGCTGGTTGTTAATGAGCTCTAGTTTGCATTTCTCTGGCCCAGCTGTGTGGGGTTAAATCTTTGAGGGAGGGGCAGCTGCTTCTCCCCAGAGCTCTGGGAAGGAGCAAGGTGGCCACTGACCTGTGTGGCTGTGACTCAGCAGAAATTCTGAGAGCTCTCCAAATCCTGGGTGTCTCCACAGAGTTCCAGTGCAGTCCGCCCTCCCACTGCCGGAGCCCAAGGTCAGTGGCTGTAGCTAATTTAGTGCTCTGACCTGGCCCTCTGCGCTATGAAGCTGGCTTGGGATTTTAACCCCGAGGGAGCTGCTCACAGCTAAAACAGCTGCTGTCCATGGGCTCCCAGCCCTCTCTCTCACACCTCTGCCGACCTACCAGGCTCGATTCAGTGTCTTGTTTTCTTGTCCCTGGTTATATGGTCCTCCCCAGCTGCTTTTCTGTTGCTTTTTCCTGACGATTTGTTTTTATTTTAGTTGTAATTCCAGTTTGGTCCTGGGAGATGGCCTATGTAGCTTTCATTTACTCTGCCACCATTTTGGAATCTCTCCTCTTTTTTTTTTTCTGTTGGTTAATCCTCACCTGAGGATATTTTTTTCATTGATTTTTTTTTTTGGTAGATAGAGTGGAAGGTAGAGTGGGAAGGTGAGAAGAAGGGAAGGAGAGCCCTGGCCGGTTTGGCTCAGCGGTTAGAGCATCAGCCTGCGGTTCCGAGAGACCTGGGTTCGGTTCCCGCTAAGGGCATGTACCTTGGTTGCAGTTTGTCCCCGGCCCTTGTCGGTCGTGCGGGTGGCAGCCACTCGATGTGCCCCTTTCACATCGATGTTTCTCTCTCTCTCTCTCTCTCTCTCTCTCTCTCTCTCTCTCTCATCCTCCCACTGTACCTGAACAAAAAATGTCCTCGGATGAGGATAAAAAAAAAAAAGTTAAAAAAAAAAAAAGGGAAGGAGAGAGAGAGAGAGAAACATTGACGTGAGAGAGGCACATCCACTGGCTGCCTCCTGCAAGACCCCAACCTGGGCTGGGGATTGAAACTGCAACCCAGTTTCCCTTGACTTGGAATCAAACCCGAGACCTTTCAGTCTGTGGGCTGATGCTCAAACTGCAGAGCCAGACTGGCTAGGGCCAGATGCTCCATTTTTCATCAGAAACTCAATGTGGCAAAACCCAAACTTACTTGACACCTCTAACTGTTCTGCTCCCTAAGCTCCCCATTTTTGTTGGTAGCAACCCTACTATCCTGTTCCTCCAGGTTTACCTTCTGTTTGTTCTTCCACCTGAAATCAACCACTAAATCCTGTCAACTTTTCATTTATAGATTCCTTGAATTGGTTCTTTCTTCTCCAGTTCTAGTCTTACCTTCAAAGGATTAGTCCTTGTTAACCTCTGTCCAAGTCTCCTAGATACTCTTGTCACTGCGTAATTTTAAATCCCATCACTTGCTTGTATAAGAACCCACAACAGCTCCTCATTGCCCATTAAATTGGGCCCATTGACTCAACCCAAAGTTTCAGTACCACCCAGCAGAAACCTTCTGTTCCTGTCTTGCTGGCCCCATGCAATTCTCTCCTGCCCTGAGTACTTTATTGGAATTTTCCATTAAAAATATATAGCCCTTGCCCAGCCCAAGTGGCTCAGTGGATTGGGCATTGTCCTGTGGGTGGAGAGGTCCTGGTTTGATTCTGGGTCAGGACACATATCTGGGTTGTGGGCTCGATCCCCAGAATGGGACATGCAGGAGGAAGCCAATCAATGTTTCTCTCTCACATCTATGTTTCTATCTCTCTCTCCCTTCCTATCTCTCTAAAAAATCAATAAAAACGTATTTAAAGATATGTGTGTGTGTGTGTGTGTGTGTGTGTGTGTGTGTGTGTGTGTGGTCCTTTAGTTCCTCATAGATTTTAAACTTCTTTAGGGCAACCCCTTATATGTTCTTTATCATGATAACAACACCTAGCACTTGCTAGGTGTTTGTTGACTCGGAACTAAAGAGGAAAATAATATTGACAAAGTACTAAGTTTTTCAAATGTACCAATCACTGTGCTAAATAGAGGCATTGCGCTCATTTTAAGATAAGGAAATCAAGGCTAAGAGGTTAAGTAACTTGCCCAAGGTCACCTAGCTGATAAGTGTTGGACCCAGAATTTGGACCCAGGCAGTTTGAGCCCAGAGCCTGCACGTTCGTTCGATCATGTGCCATGACGGTCAGATTCAGTGTTGGTCAATTCCAGTCCTGTGCTGTTCTTGGGAACCAGTATAACCCAGCACTGTTGAGCTTGTGTGATAAGAAGGACCCCTTCCCCCCACCTCAGAAATGGGGGTACATAAATGTGGTATTTAGGAAGGCAACTTCATCACTGGCCATGTCCTCAGGGAGGGTAGACCAGTGGCTTTGAAAGGCCATTGGCTGAAAACGATCTTGCTTGATTTCAACAGTTGTTTAGTACAATAGTGAAAAGAAAGCCTTGCCTTTGTTGTCCTCACACTTTCTTGTTATTTCTAGGGGTGATTAATATGGAAACTTCCAGATCCACACCCTGCCAAACTTGGTTATCCTCTCTTTCCATAGGGTTGATTTCCTTTTTTTTTTTTTTCTTTATTAATTTTAAAGAGAGAAGAAAGGAGAGAGAGAGAGAGAAACATCGATGAGAGAGAACATTGATTGGCCACCTCCGGCATGCCCCCCACTGGGGATTGGGCCCACATCCTGGGCATGTGCCCTGACCAGGAATCGAACCAGCGACCTCTTGGTGCATGGGCCGATGTTCAACCACTGAGCCACAGCAGCCGGGCTGATTTCCTTTTTCTTATCTTCTTTGAGATCTGCTTCATTTACATTTCAACTTTGCGAGTGTTGACAAAAAGGATCTTATCCCCATTCCTTTGTTTGATTGGCTAAGCACACTTTGCTACCAGGTCTGTGTTTTTACATATAAAAAAACGAAGCAATTGTTTCAGAGTATTGACTAATTAGATATTTTTTAGAAGATTAGCTTGATCTTTTTTCTCATATGATAAAATCCAGTGTTAAAGAAAAAGGACATATTTATGGAAAAAATGACATTTGGAGAAGCGAATCCTCGGGGCAGTAGTGAAGGTCAAGCAGGACCCGCACTGAGCATTCACTGCTGGGCATCTCGTGCCACAAGAAGCAGGAGCAACACATATCTATGCTTGTGGGCAACCCTGGCCACATGTGTAGACATTCTCTATGACTTTCAGAGCAAATGTATTTGATCAATAAAATTAAAAAAAAAAAAACTTTCACTATTCTCTCAGCGCTTTTTGCCTTGGAATTTTGTACAGATATTTCTAAGTAAATACCTTTATGTTTCAGCTCTAGCTAAAGAGAAATTCTGTCCTTCAGAGACCGTCTCAAGATGAAATGTAACTTAAGAAAAACACAGGCATATAATCCTGCTCTTGGCTTGCCATCGCTCTTTTATTTGGAACACAAAATATTTGTCATCTCGGGACTGCCTGAATTTACCTTCAACTTTTTAACATTTAAATTATGTTTAAAATAAAACATTTTCAGAGAATATTACTTTAATTTGAAAATGGAAACAGGACACTCTGTGATGTAGTAGAAAGAGCAGTGAATTGGAAATTACAAGACGTGGGTTCTCGATCTGACCGTGTGGCCTTGGGCACATCTGACCAATTTGGAAACATCTTGTTTTTTTGGTCTGGAGAGAGAAGGAGACACTGAGATTGCTCCCAGCTCATAAATGCTAGGTTTTTGTGATCAAGCATACCAGAGTTCTTTCTTATTCTAACAGTGACCTCTTGTGGTATATATCCTTAATCAATTCTTTGATTTGCAAAATAAACTTTGGATTTATTTTTGTTGTTGTTTCTAGTAACTATATTTCATTTTGTTAAGCAAATATGAATTGTTATCAAAAGCCAAATCTTAGTTGGGAATTAGAGGTTGATTAAAATCTGGATTACCAAACCCCACTTTATAAACAACGCTCTGTGGTTTCTTCAGACCATTGGCTGACTCTTGACACTTACAGAAAGAGAAACGCTTTGGTCTTTGTGCTGAGTGTTGTGTGTATTCCTCTTCCTCCTAGGGACCAGGGGAAGAGGCGTTCCAGGGCCTCATTATGCCCCAACAGCTCGGACCTGAGCAGGCTGGAGACTAAAGCAGGTGAGGTGCTTGTGTTCTTAGAGGTCCCCAGCATTCCTTCGCCTTCAGCATCTCCATTTCATAGAAAAAAAATGTTTGTTCTGAAGATATCTGATGTTGGCTCACTGTTTGCAAACTCCAGGAACTTTGTCCAACTTGGTCACATGCCAACATTTATTTTTATAACTTTTTATTATTTTCACAACAGTCTTGCCATTCTTACCATTATCCCAGCTCAAACATCTGTAGATTACAATCTTAATGAAAGTATTTTATAAAAGCATTTGGAAAGTTTCAGAACTTGAAATCAACGTTGTTACTGAGTTCAAAACTTTACTTCAAAATCATTACTCACTTAAATGAAACTTTATCAGCTAAATGAAGATAACCCTCCGGGTGTTTAAACTGTCTGAGAAAAATATGTAACAATATAAACCACAGGCTAGAAATTATACAAAATGTATCATGCAATGGAATATAGCAATTAGAAAAATGAACTACACTGCATTTATAACATTGAATGAAATGAGTATGCACATAACATTACATGAACAATTAAGTTGCAAAAATAATGATATATATTGTTTATGGATACAGGTCTATCTATGTGGTAAACATGTAAAGTCAAGTGTATAAAAATAAGCACCTGATTTCCAATGGTAGTTAGTAACCCTTGGAGGGAGAGGGAGGGGGCAGCAGGTGGTGGAGGGCCCAGGCAAAGGGCATCAACTATATCTGTAACATTTTTCTTCTTTAAAATAAGGAAGAGGATGAAAATATGGTTAATATTTGACCAAAGTAGTTTTGGGTATACAGGTGTTTGTCATATTCTTTGTACTTTTATGGTATACATGAAATTTTATGCAACCAAACTCACATTACGTTCCAGAAATGTTTTTATTATCTTCAAAACTAATTTCTTATACCTAAAATGACTTCTGTGGCCAATGGGAATTTAGTACTCGGGGAAATCTTAGACAGACTGATCTCTGCGTCAGCATTGTTGCTGAGGGTTTTACATTTACATGCTAAAAACACCAGCCAATAAACACTGTGTCAAGTTTTTGCGTCCAGAACTCAAAGCTGTGGTTAAGAACTATAACCACTGAGACAGCAAAATCTTCACAAAACATGCTGAAATTTCTGCTTGACTTACCCAGTTTCCTGTTGAATCATACGTTTTATATTTAGCGAACCTAGATAAAAGTGCTTTCTAAAATATTAGGGTGTTGCCCAAGGCTGAGACAAACTTTATTTTTTATGGCTCTTAAAAAGTCATCCTATGATTCCATGCTTCAGTTTTTAGTTAGTATGTGAACGGGATTTTTGTGGAGAGCAGAGTTGGAGGAGGTTGTGAGGGGTGAAGATGTGGCAGCTGGAGCTCACATCTGGAGACAGCGGCTCACGCGGGGGTCCCTAGGACAGTCTAAAGCAAACCTTTATATGACAGTGTCTGGCTAACTTCTGTTCCGAGAAGAAACACATCTAAGAAACATTCAGAAGGGCCTGTGAGGACCTTTCTTTCTGAAGGTTAAATAAACTGTTCTGTGATTTCTGGCTCAGCCCTATATAATTCAACTCTTCCTGGGGTGAACACGTTACCAATTTTGTTTGTCCTGAGAAACGGGTTGATAGTTCTGGGTTCTCATAGAGCTAGTCTGTTAAAGAGTATATTGTACAGAAGGTAAAAATGCTGATTTGAATTTACTGGACTTGAAATTTGTATTTCTAGCAAATTTAAATCCATCATACATGTTTGTTGATTAAGTCATTTGTCTCACGTTGTCGTTTGGCTTTTCCCTTGATATATGTTGATTTATTCAAATAATTTGGACTTTGAAGATGTCACATACCTGGCAATTTGAACAACTATGTTTCTTTTTGTTTTTGTTTTTTTATCCTCACCCGAGGACATTTTTCCATATTTTTTTCAGATAGAGTGGGAGGGAGAGAGAGAGAGAGAGAAACATCGATGTGAAAGGGACACATCTAGTCGCTGCCACCCGCACAACCAACCAGGGCTGGGGACAAACTGCAGCCGAGGTATGTGCCCTTAGCGGAAACCGAACCCGGGTCTCTCCGGACCGCAGGCCGACGCTCTAACCGCTGAGCCAAACCTGCCAGGGTACAACTATGTTTTTTTAATACTGCTTGAATATTCATGTTTACTTCTAGAATCTATATTAGTAATTTATCAAAGTTAGGGCAGATCATAAAAATAATGATTCAAAAGGCTGAGGTGGTGGTCTGCAACACTGTATCAGCTCTGAAATACCAAAAGTTCTGAAAGCTGAGATCGTTGTCAGACTCTTTCCGTGATCATGCCTGACCTGTACTGATCCGAGGCCAACAGAGTCTTTGTTTCATTGCTGTGAATAGTCGCGTGTTTTCTATAGGGGAGCAGCCCAGGAGACCCTACTTGGGGTGGTGTGTAATATGCAGTGTATGTACCCCACTGCCTTACTGAAATTCACATTTTTCTGCATCCCAAACCATATCTGGTCCCAAAGCTTTGAACTGTGAACCTGTACAGATCTGAACTGATTTTGTCCAGTTCAACAATGCGTTTTATGGTGAATTCTTGCTTCTGGGTTAGACAGATTATGTGAAACCTTGCAACGAAAACTCTCGACAGCACCATCACTATTCAGTGACAGCTTTGTCGACACCCCCTTTGTCTGCATTTGCTGCTCTGGTGCTCTTCCCGCCTGTGCCGGTCCCGGGACGGTGATAAAGGCCAGCCTGGGCTCGCTGCCTCCGGGAGCGGCTGCTTGTGGCCGGAGGGCACGGGCAAGGCCGGCTCGGGGCAGGCAGTGCGCACCGCGTCCCTGCCTCCGCATCGTCGCCGCGTGCTTGGAAAACTGTAACTGCATATCTCTGTTCAAGAGTAATACAAGTGCCCTGGCCAGTTTGGCTCAGCGGTTAGAGCATCGGCCTGCGGTCCGGAGAGACCCGGGTTTGGTTCTCGCTAAGGGCACGTACCTCGGTTGCAGTTTGTCCCCGGCCCTGGTTGGTCGTGCGGGTGGCAGTCACTCGATGTGTCCCTTCATATTGATGTTTCTCACTCTCTCTCCCTTCCTCTCTCTCCCTCCCATTCTATCTGTACAAAAAATGGAAAAATATCCTCGGGTGAGGATAAAAAAAAAAAAAAAAAAGAGTAATACAAGTATATTAGAAGTTTGGGAAAATACAGAAGAACACATCAAAGAAATTAATAACCGGTAATCCCAATACTTGAGATGATCCTTGTCATCCCATTTTACAGAAGAAACTCGAAGCAGTTTGCCCAGCCAGCCAGCTGGTGGGTGGGAGCCAGGACTCAAGCCGAGACAGTGGCTCTAGAACCTGTGCTCTTAACAGGCTCCCCGGTCAGCTTGTCCATCTTTTCAGTTGAAACAACCTGAGTGTGTATAGGCCACACAGCCTTTCAATGCACTCGGTCTCTCTTTCTCTCTCTGTGGAACCCTCTGATTGTCCCTAAGGTTTTTAACTCATCCTGTGACATAGTTAGAGTCCAGGCACCCACTGTGTGATCACTTAAATGGTATCGCGTCCGCCCTGGGAAGGGACGGATTGCTGATCCGATACAGACTGGGTGCCACTTCTGAGACAGGCGACAAGGACCACGCCTCCAGCAGAGCTCCGCAGTGCCCTGCACGCAGTGCCCCTCCAGCTAGACGGGCAGCATCGTGGATCTTGAGGTATTTCCTGTTTGAAATGTCATCATGATTTACAGTTTATAATATGATTTGCATTTCCCCTCAAAGTTACCTTTTAGCTTGCTGATTTGTGGCAGGGCAGAACAGCAAGTGCAAAGACGGTGGAGATGTTTGACCTTGGGCAGGTAGCTTAAGACCCCTGAGCCTCACTTTCTTCATCTGCAAAATGGGGACAGTTTGGGAACCTCCTCATCGTGTTGTTAGAGGAATTAAAGACAGGCCTGCCACCTGCCAAGTGCACAATGAATGGAGCTATCGCTCTCTCCAGCCTTCATCCCCCGGCAGCTGCCACCCTCACGATGCGCTGTATCACACAGCCTGATGCACTTCAGCCATGATGACCTGTTCACTTTCAATCAGAGAAATTCCTGTTTATTGAGTGTTCTTAGATGCTGGCTCTGGGCTCACAGCCTTGCCTGTATCATGTCTTAGAATTCGCATAACCCTGAAAGCAAACAGTCTAATCTCCGTTTTGCTGATGAGGCTCAGAAAGGAGGAGAAACCAGCCCCTGGTCACCTGATGCATCAATAATGAAGTTGGAATTTGAATTGAGATTTGTCAGTGCCCAAAGCTCAGGCTTTTCCCACCACCATCTACAAAATCACTTGGCCCCCAGTGGTGTGAACACTTTATTTTATATAGAATAGAAAATCTCTGCAGGCTTCCGTGTTAGAAACTCCTCATTAAATATTTTCAAAATAGCCCTGGGTGGTGTGGCTCAGTGGATAGAGTGTCGGCCTGTGCACTGAAGGGTCGAGGGTTCGAGTCCCAGGAAGGGGCACGTACCTGGGTTACAAGTTGGATCCCTGGCCCTGGTTGGGGCACGTGCGAGAGGCAACCAATCGATGTGTCTCTTTCACATCGATGTTCTGTCTGTCTTTCTCTCTCTCTCCCAGTCCCTCCCTTCCACTCTAAAATTCAATGGAAAAAATATCCTCGGGTGAGGATTAACAACAACAACAAAAAAGAAATTAAAAAAGAAAAACAAACACAAAAAAGGACATTTTCAAGGCCTTTGTTCTTTACATATCTATAGTTTTCTATTTCTTCTACATTATAGAGGGATAAGTTTAAGTAAAAATAACTCAAAACTGTTTACCTTACTGACAATAGATTCAACATTTACAAAGCTTAAGATTTTATGAAGTATCCCAATCAGAGTTTTAAGTTCTGATGTCTTTACAGGATCTCATCTGAGTGTAATTTGGGGTGATTTGATTGGAAGACATGTAGTTCTCCTTAGTGCTAGTTGAGCTTGGGGGCAAAGTATAATTTGATTCTAGAGTTTATTAGTCTTAGTGATAAATAGCAGACTTTTGATGGTACTGCAGTTATAACTCTTTTCCAATGCTCTTTCCCTGACTCTGGATTTCTTTCGCAGTTTCAAAAACTAACTTGCAAGAAAAGGCTACAGAAACGGAAGCAGACGATGTCTTTTGGAATACAAGGATAGTACCAATTTTGCATAAATTAGAAAAAGGTAATAAAAAAAAAGTAGTGTCTGTTTTAAATGAAAAATATATGTGGTTATTTATATGTGCCCATTGCCCTGTTATTTTTAGTACACTCGGACTATCGTTTCTATAAACATGGTACAAAACAGATGAAGCCATCTACCTGTTTATCCAGGATTATATGTAGTAAAATAACACATGTAAACCTAAGTTTTAGTGAGTAAAATTATACTTTAAATGTAGCAAGAGAGCCTACTTCTAAAATTGCCTTTGGAATATAAATTAATTATCACCTCCTCTGCCCAAGGAAATCCTGGTTTGAACTCTTTAGGGTGGCGGTTAAGCAAGAAAGTGGACGAATAAAACAGATTTCATTCAGGTCTCTGAAACTTTGACTAAGTCTAGACTGGCATCCTGGGCAGGTGTGCCCCTGGCTTTATAGATCCCAATGTGTATGTCCTGCTCTCCTGGGGTTGAACACACCTGACAGGGGTGCCACTCAGAACAGGAAGTGTCTGGGGGTGCGCCCAGCCCTTGCACTCTGGAGTGCCCAGCAGGGAAGGCCCACGATCGGCCGGTCTCTGCAGAGATGACCTATGGGAAGCTTGTGAGTTAGGGGAATGGCCCCCACCCACCCCCTCCTCCCTGCTGCTTGGGGGGAGAGGTCCATTTCTGAAGCTTAAACAAGCTCCTGTGGAACTGCAGCCAGGGCCCCAGGGCTGAGCTCAGCGCCTGGCACACAGCACACACTAAACCTTCACTAGCAGTCATGGGATGAGCGCTCCTGGGTAAGCAAAGCCAGCATGGTAGCCACAGGAAGAGGCCCTAGGAGAAGCGGGTAAATGAGTCCTCCCCAACAGCCGGGCCATAAAGGGAAGTCATGCAGAAGACCTACTTCCTAAAAGGCTCCGATGAGCTCAGCTCCCTCTAGGTACTTAGCCATGGTCATGGTTAAGGTGGGAGCCCTGCGCGTATGGCCGTGGGGAACCATCGAACCTCTGCCCAGGAGTGTTCTCGCCTCCGGCCGAGGAGTGTTCTCGCCTCCGGCCGAGGAGTGTTCTCGCCTCCAGCCGAGGAGTCTTCTCGCCTCCGGCCGAGGCGAGCGTGAACAAGATCCTCACCAAGGTCCACTGCGGCTCAGATCCCTGGGAATAAGAATGCAGTGGCTTTGCCCCCGCAGAGTCACTCATGCTCACCCTCTTGTTAGCCGGCCAGGCTAATTTCAGCCCTTATTTGAGATGTGTGCAGAAACAAGTGAGGAGAGCAGCTAGTCTGGGAAAGAGTTTGAAAAAGCAGCACGCTAAGGAGCACAGTGGGGAGAAGGCAGTGCGGGGCCCCCTTGGAAAGTCTTCGGCCAGAAGGATTTCAAGAGGGGTCTGTGGGCTCTACCACCACGGATGCCAACAGCAGTGAGCAGGAGCTTGGGGTTTGAAATGTGGGTGAACCTCCCATCTCGGAAGGATGAAACTCTGAAGTATGACATGTCTGTCACAGAACCTGAACAACAACAGAGGTGGGCAGGGCTGGGTTACTTGACCCTTTGAGATTCTTTGTCTTTCTTCTTTTTTTTTTTTTTAACTTTTTATTTTGACATAATTTTAGGCTTACAGAAAAGTTGCAAGAATAGTACAAAGAAATCCTGTATGCTCTTCCCCCAGTTTCCCAACCATTAACACTTTACACATCAGCTTCCTCACTAACTCCCCCTTCTTCCCCCTCTTGCTCTTTTCTCTACCCACCCCCGACGCACACATTGTCTCTTTCTTTGTTAAACCCTTTGTGAACAAGTTGCTGACGTGATGCCCCATATCCCTAAGTACCCTGGGCATTCTGTTATGTATCTGGACTCCAACATACAGTGCTATATGCACCTTCTTCAGGTTTTTGCCAGTTATCCTAATCATTTCCTTTATAGAAAACAAAAATTGCGGATGGCAAGTTCCAATGATTTGTCACGTCTCTTTCATGATCTTGACATGTTTGAGGAGTGCAGTCTAACTGTGCACTGCCCCACAGATTGGGTTTGTCTGGTATTTTTTCACAGTTAGATGCAGGTTAGGCATCTGGGCAGGTGTGTGGGGGGAGTGGTGCTGTGTCCTCAGTGCATCCTATCGGGGGCGGAGATGCTGCCGTGGTCCTTGCTGGTGACGTGAACTTGGAGCATTTGAGGAAGGTGGTGTCTGCCAGGTTTTTCCAGCGCAAAATCACGATTTCCCCTCTTGTAATTAATAGCATCTTATGGGCAGGGGAGGGTAGTTATTTTGAGACTATGTTGTTTTATATTATTCATCAAATGTTCACTCACTAGCTTTATTTAGCCCCTTGAGAATCTTGACAGCTCTTAAATTCAAGTTGTGTTTTGAGGCAAATGGCATAGATAGCAAACCAACCGGTGCAAAGTGTTAATATGATCAACAGTTTAAAATGTGGCCCTTGAGCCTCCCTTTTTCATTTTCTCTAAGCTGAAACAAGTACTTTGGAGTAGAACCCACCAGGTTGAAGGTTTTGTGGAGGGAAGTATCAGGAAAATGCCTTGAAGTCTGAACCCACTAGGCTCGGATTTATGAAGAAACTGCCAGTCACAGAGGAATCAAACAACAAAAGTGTTTCTTACAATGGAGCTCAGGTTTTCCCCTTTATTTAAAGTTAGTCCAAGTCATTTCCCATCAGTTCATTTATTTAAGTGCATAACTGAAAGGCACTGAAGGTTACTTAGCTATTGAGGTTTAAAATTTTTTCTTAGAGGTTGTTGTTGAAAAGAGCTAAAAATGTCCTGAGTCATTTCCTTCTGCACTTCCTCGATGTGGGCTTTTAAGAGCACATCGTGGTATTTATTTAAGATTGGTTTCCTAGTTTTAAATTCCACGATGGAATTTATCAGAGATGATATTTTTCAGCTGAGTACCTTGGAGCTTGGATTCGTGTACGTCTCCTGACGTGGCTTGTCTGCTGCTCTTCCTCATGTGCCTGTCAGTGTGGCGGCCACTTTAAAAAATCACTTTCCTCAGAATTCTCCTGATAAAATAAAATGTGCTAGGTCTCCCTGTTTCCTAACGAACCTCTTCTTTATTCTCCTCATAACCACCTCCAAAATCAGGGTGGATGTGGTGACAGTTTGAGATTTTGTTCCATTTGAGCCTTCTTTTCTCAGATAATGAGCGTTATTCTCACAGAAAATTATTGATCATTGTTTTTATCAACAGATATATCAGAAAGTGAATATGTATTAGGCTATGTTACAGGTTGTCAGTACAGTATTCTCACTGGAAAATGCACTGTTGATGCAAACGTACATAAGACAGGATTCCCACTCACTCACATGCACCTGTTTGAGGGCGCTGAACGCATCTCACAACATACATATATATACCTCGAAAATAAAAGGACAAGGTAACATTTCTTGTATGTGGAAGAGTGCGCCCTTTCTGGATGAGCCAGAACATCAACAGAGCCCGGAAAGACCAAAGCAGTGGGAACAAGGAGAAGGAGGACATCCTAGGCTGGTAGACTGTACCCCAAAGGGTCTGCTTCCAGGGCCCGAGCAGAGCCCTGAGGTGGAGGCGTTTAGAATAAAGGAGACCAACTGAAGTAGGTGCGAGTCTGTTGGCTAATATGCTCCTGGAAAGACTGTGTGTGCTAGAGAAGCTGACCGACTGATTGGTACATAAGTCAACTTGTAGGAGATGGAGCAACAAAATGAAAAAGAAACCGGGTAGATGGGAGTGATCAGAGACGGGGACATGGCCAGGAATTTGGAGATGAATGTGGTCAGTAAGCGCTGCCTCCCTCTCTTCGCCCCGACAGAAGGAAGAAGCATCGAGACGCTCTGCGCTGCTTGTGCTCAGCTGCACGGTGCTTTAGCGGAAGGAAACATGCTGGGAAAGAAATTCAAGAGAAGAAGTACTCTCCTGAAGACCTTGTACAAACTAGTGGATGTGGGTTCGGACCCACTCAGCCTTAAACTGGCAAAAATTATTCTGGCAGTAAGTTTTTCTTTCCTCTGGTCTTGTAGACTGTGGCACACAAACGTTTTGTTTAATGCTTGATTTGAAAATAAGACCAAGATGATTAGAAATGCAGTGTGTTCCTTTAGAATGCTGAAAAAAAATTAAGGTAAGAAACTTATACCCCGGAACGTGACGAGAATGTACTATCTAAGGAACTCAAGCTGAGGACACAGAAAATGTGCAAATGAGCCCTACATATGAACTGTGGCTAGGTTAAAAAAAAAAAATGTGACAATCGGCAAATACATTCTGAACAGCTGCTCAAAGATGTGACCGGAGATCAGTATCGAAGTGCAGGCTGTGGTTTCTGCCCTGCGGTTGCTGTTGGGTGCTCGATTTTGCCATGTGATTCAATGAGTAGCTTATGAAAAGCAGTTGCCAGGGGCTGCGCGAGGCAGCGCAGAGAGAAACAGCTGCGTTGGTCGTTGGTCGTGGGAAGGTGGTCATAGAAGGCTCCTGAGAGGTGTTAGAAGAAAAGGCCAAACACCAAATAAGAGCATGGAAATTCGGTCTCAAACAACACGATAGCATTGTTTGAGGGAACACTTTGTTGTCACAGCCATAAACAGTTGAAACCAAAAGATAAGACACAATTATTGTAGAATGTTCTAAGAGAGCCGCTAAAACAAACGAAGCTTTGTTTACCCAGTTTCATAAAAGTAAAAGCTATTATGGTAACACCCCATAATTTATATAATGTAAAATGTTCAGGCACACAGAGAAAGTGAGCACCAGCATACTTACTGACAGCTGGGCAAGAGTGCCCACCGTTTCCTTACTGTGATGTCTCGCACACAGCAGGTTCTGACTGCACAGCCTATGCCGTTGTTTGGAGCAGCTACATCCTTGTTTAGCTGTCATCCTAAACTATCCTCCCTCCTTAAAGAAGTGTGACATGATATATGACTCAGAAAGCAACACTTCTTTGAAATAATGGTGTCAGTATTTGAATCCCCTTTCATCGATGAGAATTGATCAATTGCTTTAGTGAAACAAAAGGAGCATAAACCACAGGAAGGACTTACAATCAAAAGTTGTTAGTAGAGATAAAAGGATATCAGCCTGGTTGCCCAGTTCCCTCTCTGGCCTTGGATTTGGGGCGCCTTCTGGCCCAGGAGGGCCCCACGGGCGGAGCTGCAGCTGCCCAGGCACTGCCTCTAGTTTTCCACCTTGATCCCAGACATTTGTGCACGCCAAGCCAAAAAACTTAGTAAGTCACAGAGCAGGAGAAAGAAGGAAAATGCCATGAATTTGTTAATGCTTTGCAGAGGAAGTATTATCTTGGTTATTAAAGATGCCATTCAAATTAATTATATACATGGCACAGTTTAACTATTTTAGGGCAAAAAGCTAAGTGATCTGCCAGGCAGTGAACATGTTCTGAATGACACGTATGTTCAGATGAAGCCCTCTGCATGCCACTGCCTGCCCTGCTGGTCAGGGCAGGACTCGCTGGGCTGCTCTCCAGAGTGCGGAGAGGGGCAGGCTGTCCCCGCAGGTTAACTGTAAACACACGAGGTCAGGAGGGACCTTCAAGGCCATCAAGTCCAACTTCCCATCTGCCTCCTGAATCTCCTATAATGTTTCAGGCAAGAGATTGTTTCACTTAGGCCTTGGTGATAGGGTTCTATGTATATTTAAAAAAGACTACCTAAAAAGCTGTTGAAAAAAAAAATTAATAAAAAACTAAAGATATAGCCCTGGTCCTTTGGCTCAGCAGTTAGAGCGTCGGCCTGCGGACCAATGAGTCTCGGTTCTATTCCAGTTAAGGGCACGTACCTCAGTTGTGGTTCCTCCCTGGTTGGGGTCCTGCAGGAGGCAACTTCTTGATGTGTCCCTCTCACATGGACGTTTCTCTCCCTCTCTCCCTTTCTCTCCCTCCCACTTTCTCTGAACAAAAGTGGAAAAATATCCTCGGGTGAGGATTAAAAACCAAACCAAAACAAAAACCCCAGAGATATATAGGACTAAGAAGGTTTTTTTTTTCAATCCTCATACGAAGGTATGTTTCATTGATTTTCAGATAGAGAGGGAGGTGGGGAGGGGAGAGACATCGATGTGAGAGAGAGACATCGATTGACTGCCTTCCGCGCAACCCTGATCAGGGCCTGGGATCGAACAACTAAGGCACATGCCCTTAATTAGAATCAAACCCACAACTCTTTGGCCCTCGGGCCTGTGCTGAGCCAAACCAGCCAGGGCAAGACTAAGAAGGTTTTTAATAACTTCTTTCTGCCAATATTTATTTTATCCATCAGTTTAATATAACAGTCAAGACATTCTAAATTATTTATAGTTAAAAAATTCATTGAGCGTAATGTTAGTTGTTCTGATTTCTTTGGTTAAGTGGGGGTTTGTCAGATCATTTTAATTTTAACCTTCATATTGAAAAATCTTTCAAAAATATATCAGTCTTTAGTAAGATTTTTTTAGCGTACAAACATATATACAGTATGAATGTGACTATATTCAGGAGGGGGGAAAAGTCTGGCACCTTAGAAAGGGGAAAAAAACAGAAAAGAAATACCAGTTTGTCAACAGTGATTATATATAGTGGTAATATTATGAGTAATTTTTAAACTTCTCTTTAATTTTCCAAATTTGCTTTAAATAGAAAAGGCTACTATTTTTAACATAAGAAAAATACCCCACTAAAGGAACCAACTCTGTGCCAGGGACTCTTGACACTAGAAATACGAGTGAATAACATGGCCCCTGCCCTCTGGGCTGGCTCTGCAGCAAGAGAGACAGACGGTAAACACAGAAAGTGCCAAGTGGCCGAGGAGGGCTGTGGGAAGGAAACAGACCAGAGTAAGGCCCTGGGCCGAGTGGGGTGCAGAGTGCTGTTTTATGTAAGGCCGTCTGTATTCCTTGCATATAATTTATTATTTTATTATCTCTTCATGATTCAAAGTCATAATTCTAGATCTATCAAGAGAGAAGGTATAAGAATTGGCTTCAAATGTAAATTGAGCTCATAGCAGACCTGGAAATTGTGGGTTATATGTTGTTTTCTTGCATGAAGAACTCCGACACCTATTGTTGTTGTTTTCTTTGCCACTTTCCACTAAAAGTATAAGGCTGGGCGGGGGTGGGGGCGAGGTTAGTTGTATTCATTCCTTTATTCAACAAGCTTTATTAAGTACATAACCCATGCTACATACCACCATAGAAAGAGTAGTGGATCTTGATTTTGACCTCCAAGTCTCAGAATGTAGTGGAAGGTTGTTGACTGATTAAAATATATTCCCAAATATTAAGGGCATTATATTTTCCATTGATACAGAATTTTTTTCCTACTTTCTCTAGCTTATTTTCTGGGTGCTTATACAATATTTTTTAAACACCTAATCATGAAACACGTGTTTAAGGTCCCACTTCCATTTCCCTTCCTGAGAACAGAAGGCACCTCCATTCTGCCGAGTGTGGGACTTGCTGAGGCTTCCTCAACAGGGCTCCCGGACTGGCCTGCGCACACGGTCCGCTGGGGGTTGTTAAAATGCGGATTCGGATTCACTGCTGCTGGCTGGGGCCTGGGGTTCAGCACTGCTAACATGAAACCAGGTGACCCCGAGATGAGTTGACACGACCTGTCTGAGGAGACTCCTCAGTTGCAAAATGGGAATGACAGCACCTCGTAGGCAGGGCGGCTCTGAGGTAACAGGTAAAGGCCCAGAGCAGGGGGCAGACAGCAGCTGCTCCGAGGATAGCGCCCCCTCCGCCCCTGCGAACAGGGCCGACCGCATTCATCGCCGTGTCTCCCACGACCAACCGCGCAGGGCCAGCTGCAGTCGGAGCTCAGTCATATTTGTGGATCAAACAGAACAAAGCGTTTAAAAATAGCTCTGACAAATTCCATTATCTTTTTAAAAACTAACTGAAAACTCATTAATAAGTAATATTAAAGATAATTCAAGAGATAGTTTTTAATGACAAAATAATGATCCACATGCTATCCTTTTCATACAGTTAGATTTATTTGTTCAGATGACCCTATTCCTGCAAACATATTTTACACTCTTGAAATGAGGGCACGTAATATTTTCATCTTATAATAGCTTATAAATGTCTCTCTTTTTAAACATAGTGTTCACAATTATACTTTTTGTGACTTCTTATTATGAAATAGTATTGATGTCCCACAATTTATTAAATTATTCCCTAACATTAGGATTTTGGGGATATTGGACATTGAGGATTTTTCTTTTTAATTTTTTCTCCGTTAGATAAATGCCCAGCTAATTTAGTTAGTCCTCCTATACTGTGCATTTTTTAAAATGTATACTTCCTTACTGCCCCTATGTGTAAATTACTTCACTATTTTTGTGTGATTTAAAAGGTAATTTTAAACTTTGAACATTATTTGTCATTATCTCAAAGCATTCCAGAAATAGCCTTAAAAAAAATAAATACATATAATATCTAATGGGAGAATGACTTTTTTTTTCTTTTATACAACTGATAAAGGGAATCATACGTTTGTTTCCCTTTTCTTTTCTATCTTTCGCCTCCACTGTGTTTTGTAAGGTAGTTTAATCTGAAATTTTGGTACCTATCTTCTTTAACTCTTGAGTTTTAAAGCAATTACTCCATTTAATTAAATTTATCAACATCATCTCCCCTTTTTCCTTATATATTCTTTAAAAAGTAACTAGTGATCTCACATAAAGCATGAGACTTTATGAAGTAAAAATAAATGCTTACTATTAAAAAGTGCTTACTCTAAATATTATTTATATTAAATAGTTGGCAACTATGTGGCCAAAACTTTTGTAAGTTGACTTCTTTAGAACTTTTCTTTGTTTTAAAAATACTCTTGCTGTACTTTTAAAATTAGATGTTTGTGTTAAAAATTATGACATGTCTTTGTTTCCCTCCGCAATAGAAATGCTTTTCTTTCTCTGCAGCTTAAAGTGAGTAGAAAGAATCTTCTAAATGTTTGCAAACTTATATTTAAAATTAGTAGAAGCGAGAAGAATGATGCTCTGATTCAAAGTGACAGCATTCTGGGTGAGTGTCCCTCAGCGCTACCTTTGACCAAATCTTGCACTTGAGTGCAAAGTTACAAGTAATGATAGCCGAACTTTTTTATTTTCTAGTAATATATGGAAGCTATGCAATGCCTATTTTTACTCTGTCCTTCTCTGTGTTTTCTACATTCCATTTACGATATCCTTTGGAGCCTAGGAGGATAGTCTGGTATTTAAAAAAAAATTTTTTTTTCTTTTATTGATTTTACAGAGAGAGGAAGTGAGAGAGAAAGAGAGAGAGAGAAACATTGATGAGACAGAACAACATTTGGCTGCCTCCGGCATGCCTCCCACCGGGGATCAGACCCACAACCTGGGCATGTGTCCTGACCAGAAATCGAACCAGTGACCTCTTGGTGCATGGGTTGATGCTCAACACTGAGCCACACCAGCCAGACTAAAAAATATATTTTATTGATTTTTTAGAGAGAGAGGAAGGAGGAGAGAGAGAAACATCAATGTGAGAGAGATACATCAATTAGCTCCTGCAATCAATGCCTCCTGCATGCCCCCTACTGGGGATTGAGTCTGAAAACTTGGGCATGTACCCTGACCGGGAATCGAACCGGGACCTCTCAGTCCATGGTACAATGCTCAATCCAGTGAGCCACACCAGCTGGGCAGTCTGCTATTTTTTTTTAATCCTCACCTGAGGATATTTTTCCATTTATCTTCAGATACGGGGGGGGGGGGGGGGGGGGGGGGGGGGGGGGAGGGAAGAGAGAGAAAGAAAGATATGAGAAAGACACATCAGCCAGCTGCCTCCTGCACGACCAAGGCGGGGGACCAAACTGTAACCGAGGTACATGCCCTTGAGGGGAATCAAACCTGCTACTCTTTGGTCCATGGGCTGATGCTCTAACCGCTGAGCCAAACCAGCCAAGGCTGTCTGTGATTTTTTTAATGCTTGTAGTAACATTATATGACTTTACAAAGTGTTCCCTATTTAAAAATTTATTTCCTGATCTTGGATTTACTGTTAGAAAGAAACATATTTAATAGTATTTGCCACAATTGACATTGTCTTTTGATATATAGGAATGACTAAAACTTGGAAGGCATCTATAACTGTTGTAGAAATTTGACATCAAAGTATCTCAAATGTGTTTCAAATATGTAGATAGGGACATTTTACTACATTCTAACTACCTAGCTAATAAGGTCTAATTCTTGATGTGCCCTTAAATAATTAAGATGCTTTAATAGTTACCTAAATAGAAGTCTTTTATGAAACAGTATTGCTGATCTAAAAGAAGACAGCATGGAAAATATTTTGAGTCCTCTTTTTGCAACATAGGATACATGGTCTTCATTTGTTTTTTACCCAGCGGGCAGGGACAAGCCCAGTACTGAAAGAAATGTCAAACACTGAATCCGCTCATTGAGAATTATAGACTAAAAACAAAGATTCTGGCAAATGATCACACTGATATTAATAAAATAAAATGTGACCTAGTCATTGTCCGCCTCATCAGAATTGCCTCCTAAAACCCAGTAGCTGCATGTTTTTGGATGGATGTTTTTAAGTTGACTTGGGGAAGGGTGGATGTTACAGTTGAAGCATTCCTTTCTATGACTGAGATTTTTTATAGGTTCTATCTTGATTAATTTCCCAGTCATACAGCAACTGGCATATTCTTAATGGTTTGTTTAAGTGTAACTTTAATAATTAGTTATTCTATAGTAACTCAAAATGTTCGTAACCAAAAATAAGATTGGTAAATGCCAGTAAGCAACAAGGAATGGCATTTAAAGAACACTTTCTTATTTATATACTATAATCCCATCATTTCACTGTCTTTACTATTACAAAGATTCAGCTAAAAGTAGGCTTTCCTCTCTATACCACTCAGTAACCTATGACAAGAATTCCACTGTAGGTTCTGACAAACATTCCACAAATTGTGTTTGATGTTCACACACAGACTGTAATATATCTCTCTCCAGCTGTTTTAATCATACACTTGTAATAATCCATCTTTTTGACAGAATTGTTATTGGAAGTCCTGAGAAGCGAAGACCTGCAGACTAACACTGAAGCTTTTCTATACTGCATGGGGGCTATCAAATTCATTTCTGGAAATTCAGGATTTCTTCATGAAATGATCAGCAAAGGCGCTGTGGAAATATTGATGAATCTGATAAAACAAATCACTGAGAACACCGACAAATGTGGTGCATGTTTGCCTAATTCAGGCCACTTATTAGTCCAAGTAAGTATTTCACTTGAAAAGATGAGCTGTGGGAAATTAGTTTTCATGGTACCTAGTAACAGTTACTTGCCAGGTGAATGTAACAGGTAGCAGGTGCCCTGTTGCCTGCAGCCAGGCAGGGGTGCCTGTCCTTGGGGATCAAGGGCAGTAGGCACCATCCCACCTGCTCCCTGTGTGTGCCCATTTCCCCGGAAGGGCTATTCCATGTCTTTTCATGGACCCGCTGCCCACACAGCTGGCCGGCAAATTGTCCACTGCCCTGCAGAGAAAGAAGGCCTGGAGGCATGAAAAAGAAGCACCTCTCCGCAAAACAGTTGCACATTACAATCAGAATTATAATTTTACGGAGATCGTTCATGATGATTGGTAGCAAATGTCATGAATGTTATATCTACAATAAAAAAAAAAAGTTAATGATACTGAGTGGACAGTTGTTGAGGGGGTGTGTAGATGACACGCAGGCCCGAGACTACAGGAACGAAGGTAACAAGACAATATATTTAATGTGACCAGGGCAGGAAGAAAAAAATGTGTTATGTGTTAGAGTTTTATTGCTTCTTTTGTGGCAGATTAAATTTCATAGTTAAATTATTTTCATTGGAGCTGCTTCAACTCTCATATTCTTTTTGAGATGAGATTTTACTCTTTAATAGCATTTGTATGTCAGATAATAGCATCTTCGATGTAATAATTCATGAGGTTTGAAATGTGCTTGTCAATTAATGAGGATTGATGAAGCACTCAGAGCGCTTGAAGCCTTTGGGAAAGTGTGTTAAAAATTAGATTTAGGCCCTGGTATAAAGATGCTTGAAGTGTTTATGATGATTATTAATTTTGGACTTGTGGTCTGTCTCCATTTTTGAGAAAGATTGTGCAAACCTCTTTTAGTCACGAATGATTGAAGACTCTACTGGATGTGCCATCTTTTGACTAGGGAGACGTAAGAAACACGATTTTCATGCTGCCAGTGCCATTGACTTGTTCAAACTTTCTCTCAATGAATAGTTATTTTGGTTATATAATTATGCTTTTTGTGAAAATGCAAAAAAGTATAAGGAAGAGTGCAAAAATAAAACAGCTCTTATTTTCTCCCTGAGATATTTTCTCCCTGTAACATTTTAGTAACCATTCTTCCAAGCATTTTTATTCACATATATGCTTACATATGTATAATTTTATGTAATTCTTGTGGTTTTTATTTTATTGTGGAACCTGTTATTTTTAATAGTTGTTTTTGTTTGTTTTCCATCATTTTCCCTCCTTGTTTCTCCTTCTGGTCCACCGAGTTAGCCAACTCTGTTCACACTGATGTGCTCAGCACCTTTTAATGCACTTGTAGGGTTTCAAAGATAGTGTAGGAATGTACTTCTCTTTTCTCTTTTAACAATAGTAAAAGCCCTTGAGTCAATTCTATAGTTGTTTTGTTCTTTTAATGGCAGCATTATAGTCTATGACCAGGCTCTGCCTCAAATCACCAGCCATCCTCCTGTTGAGATATTCACTCTGTTTTCAGTGTTTATGCAATAGCTTCTGGAATTCTTATCTAGTTAAAAAAAAAATCTTTCAACCCATTTATGTATGTACATGTATATATATTTATATAATCAAATAAATCATAATGGTAAAATATCAATATTTATATATGTCGATATATAAAATGCATTGGACAGAGGTATTTAAAACCAGACTCTCTCTACATATGTGTATATATAGATATACAGTAGACTATAATTCTGTATCTCTATATATAAACTATATGTCTATACTCATATATAAAGATCGATATTATATCTGTGGATGGATACATAGATAGATAGCCTGGTTTAAAAAAGCTCTTTAAAACCTATTTTTATATATAAAATTATATGTTTTACTATATAGATATAAATATATTTACATAGTTTATAAATTAAATATATAAATTTATTTATACTTATATTTATTTTTATATACTAGAATATATAACTATATAATATATAAAAAACATCAGTTGGTATATAGAAGCATTGAGTATTATTGTGACCAAAAATATATCAAATCAAGAACTAGGACCTTTGGTATGTCAGTAGGTACAGTGTTTTTCTCCCTGTGTTTCTCTTTTTTTTACTTTTTCTCTCGCCTCAGCTCACTAGGTCAGATGCCCCTTTCCTTTCCTGCCATCCACGTACCCCTCTAGAGTGTTATGGCACGGGGCACTATAGTTACTTCCTCCTCACTGCCCACCACCTGTCACCAGGCACTGTCACTGTCTCCAAAGCCTTCCTCTGGACCTGCTGAGGACCTGCGGCTCACACGACCTGAGTCCGCAACCTGGAGCAGTCAGCACCCCACACCCTCATCCCATGAGCAAAGTGGAGCCCTGCTCCTGCTGTGGTCCACAGTGCCATCTGCATCAACATACACTGCCACTACATGTGTGTTTACAGAGTTGGGGGGAAGGAGATAGTGTTCAGTCTGTTTCATTTGCAGAATCCCCTGAACTGGACATTCCCTCATATGTGTATAATTAAAACAAAGAAAAGCTGTTTTGTATCATATGAATGATGCAATGTAAGCAACGGAACTTTACTCCAAGAGCAGATGAAAATCTCTACTCTGTGAGTGTGGAACACTGACTGGCTTTGACCAGCCTGCTCATGTGCACAGTCAACCACACAGACCTGGCCACATGCAGAATTGTTTGTTTACACCAGCTTTCAGAACCTGGTAATTGTCTAATTGAAAAAATAAATTACTCGTGGTCTGTAATCCAGAGAGAACATGGCAAGTCAGAAAAGATAAAGGCCGGCAACTTTGGACGGCCAGGACTTCCTGTCCTTTATGACTTTCAGCCTAGAGAGCCTCAGTCGCTTCAGTGTACTTTTGGGGGACCTCCTGTTATAAAACTGTACATTCTAGCATCTGGCAGAGCGCTAGAGTCATCCTGTTTTCCTAAAGCAGGAACATTGAAGGCCAGTGAATGAAGGGAAAACACCTGAAGCTGGATCCTGAAAGTTGTGTAGGATTTGGACAAAGGAAAAGGGACAAGTTTGGGGGACGAAGAAGTGTGTCTGTCCAGGTGACATTCAGAGGCTACCGTCCTGGGTCTCGAATACCAGGCTACGGAGTGTGGACCTGGAGCAGCAGGGAGCAATCAGAGGTCGGTTCGTGGGAAGGAGCAAGTGAGAGCAGCGTGCAGGAAGACGAATGTGCACAAGATGTTAAACTGATCAAGACCAAAAGCTGAAAAGTCATGGAAGGAGGACGTGCCTGGGTTACGGACAGATTGGAGAGCTAAGATCTCACATACACAAGCCCCAATTAGGGGGCTTTGCTGCAGTTATTAGATTTTAATCTTATTATACAGGGAGTTAAAGGAAAGAGGTCAAAGAATGGGTGTGAAAGAAAAGTTTCTCCACAGCATGTGGGCTGATGGTGCTTAGAGGACAAATACTGAAGTGTTGGGTTTTGAAGGTTTTCTTTGTGTTCTTTCTTATGTATACATAAGTGTTTAGCACGGTGTGGCTGTCACCAAGAGACACTGGTTACACAATGTTGGTGGAGTGGCTGCTCTGTGCCAGGGGCGTTCTGGGTGCTGAGTGAGGTCGTGAAGGACAAGGCAGCTGCCATCGTGTGTGCAGGTGACAGTGTTCCGATGCCTTATTCTCCCACGAAGCCATGGCGCTTCCACGCCTCAGTGCTGCATTCAGTTCTAGCTGTCAGGTGTCTCGTAGCATTTTAAGAAGGTTGAGAGGATGATTGCTGATGCTCAGAGGAACTGAGAGGCCACCACCTGGGACCCAGTGCAAGCATTGATGCTTCCGGTCTGGCTACACCAGAGGCAGGAGTGAGTGTCAAATCGTAAGAGTCAAGATTAAACTGCATGTTCATGAAATTCCAGAATACTAGAATTTAGAGAGAGCTCTCTGAAACCTGGAAAGAGAGAAACATGGGCCAGGTAAAAAGCAAGGCCCCCTAAGTGTAATAAATGGCATGACCCAAAGAGGCAACCAACGACGGACATAGAGATTTGTCTTCATTGATCTGGAATGGGTTATCACGAGGTGTTAGGGTTCATCTCTGATTTGTAAAGGCCAACGATCCAAAGGCACAACACAGGAACCGAGGTTTGCTGCAGTCCCCTCCATCAGAAAGTCTGTGTGGTCCCCACCCTGCCCCCTTTCTGGGAACTAGAGAACAGCCCTCTGTATACATCATAATCACAACCAACACCAAGTTCCCCTGGCACCTCATTTGGCCTCTTATCTTTTGAGAACATCACGTATAAAGCTGCTTTACTGTAACTGAAGAAAGTCTCTGGGTACATTTATAGTTGGGTCATTTATAGGTATATAATGTAACTATTAAAACCCAGAACATTCCGATATTTTTATTATTCCTTTGTATTCCCAACCATTTGTTCTTTACAGCCTGACCCATTTGATTTTGAATCCAGTCCTTAGACAAGTACATTCTTCCCCTGCTCCTGATACATTTTTGAAGTTAAAACTGCCCCGCAGCACCCCAGACAGCGTGGCTGCTGTTGCCCCTCACGCCTGTTTCACTTCTCCGAGCCAGCAGGCTCTGCCGAGGGTCCGTCGAATCTGAATCGTGCCCCCTCCTCACTCAAGCCATCTCCGGGGCCATGGTCTTCCTTTCCCCGAGTGGGGGTTTCTCAGGAAGGTCAGGGCTGGCCCCCCACCCCACCCCTTTGCCATCCTCCTTCCATTCCTTCACTTGGGCTTGAGTTTGGGGACAAGAAGCATGAATTAAACAAAGAGAGATGACTCAGATAGCTTGAGCCTGGATGATTTAGAAAGTGATATTATTGTTAGAAATTAGAGAATTATTCAAGGAACTGATTTGGTGAGAGGACAGAAGGGGAAAATGCACTTAGTCTTAATAAAAACTTGAATGTGCCAGCAGAATGGCCAAGTGGGACTGTCTGGGAGGAAATCCGAGATGCCAGCGGATGCTTAGCAGAGAAAGTAAAGCTAAGAAACAGATTTAGTGTCATCAAC